AACTTTAAAGAAGAGAGACACTAAAAAGAAGCTTGGGACATATCTGGGAGAAAAAATAAATTAATGAAACTCGTTTAAAAAACTCTAGAAAGTTTTGTGGTTTTAATTGCAGGAAAATTAGTTAATCAGTATAATCTACTGTTAGTTTATTTCACAGGATCCTAAACTTAAAGCCAGAAGGGACCTAATACATCACCAAGTTCAACCGCCTCATTTTATACTTAAGAAAACTGAGGCAGAGGGAAATTATACGACTTGTCCAGGCTCACAAAGACAGTAAGCATATGAGGCAGAATTCAAACTCAAGTCTTTCTAAGTCTAAGTACAATCCATTCCTACTATTCCTTCAATTACATTAAGATCATCCTAGGTGGAAAATAATATAGACTCACAGAGTCTTGGACTGGAAGAGACCTCGGGCAGCATATAATCCAAGCGTCTCATTTTATAGATGTGGAAACTGAGTCTATGACAAAATCACAGAGCAAAAAGGATGCCAGGCCTGATCTAGCCCAATCTCTTCATTTTGCTGATGAGGACACTGAGATCCACTGAGGACGGACAAATGATGACCCAAGGTCATCTAAGTGCTAAGTGGAACATCCTTGAATTGAATTCAAGTCTCCAGGATCCAAATCTTGCTTCTCTATCCTATTTTGTTGAGTTACTTCCAATGGATATTCATTACTGTTCTCCTCTGAAGAACAAGGTAAGAGATAATCATGTTGTTTTTAGGTACATAATGTGGAACTAAGAAGTGTGTTGTTTTCAATCCCATTTCCTTACTAGTATTTCACCTTTTATGCAATCTAACCTATGCAACCTGTATTCCAAACCAAATACCTCACCATGGTCTATGCTACGGAAGGACAAGTTCACAGCCGTCTTACCAAGATGGAAGATCTTGCGTGTGGGGTGACTATGTTCTTTTGCCTCTTTTTGCATCCCCAGCACTGAGCACAGTGCCTGGCACAGAGCAAGTGCTTAAAAAAGTTTATTGAAAATTGAACTGAATTTAAAAAAATCCAACAAACAAGCCAGCTGTGTGGAGAAGCTCATCACTACAATGTTGACCAGTAGATGATGACATTTGAAGACCCTTGCTATACACAAAGAAGCTACCACTTGAGCATGGAGGTGCTGCGATTTCTGCGAAAGGCTTCCCCTATCAGATATCTAAGGAATCACAGGGTTTTTGGTGTCCTTAAATATGCCTGTGTAATTCATTATTCTCTTTAGAGATTACAAATATTGCCCTAGAGGTAATTTCCTTCCTTGTGTTAATGACACATTAGTAAAAGGTACAAGATGAAAACAAGTTAAGTGTTAAATTGTTCATCAAGATTTAAAATAGGTGTTAAAAGTAAAAATACCAAATTATATTTCAGTGAATGAAATAAAAGATAGTTCTTTGAACCTAAGAGTTTGGGGATTAGTGAGAGCCATCTTTTGTTCTTTTCACATAGAATCACAGAATCTTCAAGGAATAACTCTTATTACATTCTTGATAAATTATTTGACCTCTCTTCTTGAATACATCCAGTAACATGCAACCAACTACTTAACAAGGTTCCCAATTCCATGGTTAGGCAGCTTGGTCTTGAAAGCTATGAGATCAGTTCCCTAATTTGCAATTAGGTCAGACTACATACTCCCTGTATTCTCTTCCTTTTTCTTCTCTTCTCTTCCTATTAATTATGAGAAAGTTTCTGTTTATACTGAACTGAAGTCTTCTTGAGTGGGACTGTTAAATGAGCATTCATAAAAACTTAATTTTAGAGCATAATTATTGTCTTCTTCCTGCTACTTCCTTCTTTCACTGCGATGTACTCATTTCTTATACTACATACTACTACTGCTACTACCACCACCATTACAATTTCTACTACTACTATTACCACTGCCACTACAATTTCTACTACTACTATTTTTACTGCTACTACTACCACCACTACTACAATTACTACTATTACTATCATTACTACTAGTACTACTAATATCACCATGACCATTACAATTTCTACTATTACTATTACCACTACTATTACCACCACCACCACCACCACTGCTGCTACTACTACTACTACTACCACCACTACTACTACTATTAATATACATTTACATAAGCACTTATATAGCAATTTAATGTTTAGAAAATTATCTACATATCTCATTTGACTTTCACAAAAAACCTGTAAGGTGGGAGTTATTATGAGGCTGAGAGGCTCACGGTCACACAGCTAGGATGTGTCTGAGGCAAGAATCGACCTTAGGTTTTCCTGACTCCAGGTCAGTCAAGTGCTCTCTGCACTGTGCCACCTAGTTGCAGTAGTAAATTATAAATGTCTGATTTTATCACAGAGTCAGAAATTGTTATGTGTATGGTCTTTCTTTGCCATGAGAATCATATGTATAATCAGAAAGACATGTCTGAATCCCACCTCAGGTGCTAGCTAGCTATACTCAGACAAGTCTTTCCAGCCTCAGTTTCTTCAAATGTAAAACAAGAAGAATAAACACATCTCCTGTACAGGTTATTGTAAGTATCAAATGAGAAAATAAATGGAAAGTGCTTTCCAAAACTTAAATCATTATATAAATGTCAGCTATCATTACAACGTAAATGCCATCACATTGAAATCCATGAAATCAAATGGATTTCCAGAGAAATCTGAATTCTATGATATTTTAAAAGAAAGTTGCTTTCTATTATTTTGAAACAGATACTTGATTGAACAGCTAATCAAGCCTGACAAGTAGGAGTCTCACTGGTCTTTTTAGGCAATTAGACAAGTCTGATTTATAGGGATTACACTAGTCATCTGCAAACTGACATGATAAAGTAATTAAAAGAGTAGGCCTTTAAACAGATTACGCATTTCCCCTGTAATCCAGCTTTCCCTGTGAATTTGGCAGCCAAATCAGTTTTCTATAGACACGGTAAGCAGCAAGGTCTAGCCTTGGGGTCAGGAGGTTCTGGCTCTGTCTGAGCCTCTGATACACATATATGTGCTGTGACCATCACTCCTCCCTACCCCAGGCAACTCTGAGATTATAAATATCGACAGGTTGCTAAACTATATCAATAGATGGAATTTCCACATCAGGAAGTTCTCTATACTAATGAAATCACAGGTCCAACCTCCTCTCCCCCTCAGTGAGCATAGTTTAGTAAGGTCAAAGATTGTGGATTTAATAGCCAAGCACTATTCTGGATTATGGTCGTAATTCTAACATTTAGACTAAGGTTTTCATATTATAAATGATAAACCCAACTATGCTGAAAAAATTATATTCATGTTGGTGCATATTAAGAAAAAATGTGCATTAATGGTTTCATAATATTGTTTTTAATTTTTATTTATTTATTTTTTTGGTGAGGCAATTGGGGTTAAGTGTCTTGCCTTACTACAGCTAGTAACTGTTATGTGTCTGAGGCTACATTTGAACTCATGTCCTCCTGACTCCAGGGCCAGTGCTCTATCCACTGCACCACCTAGATGCCCCAGTTTCATAATATTTTAAAGCAACAAAGTTGTATTTTTAAATATAGGGAAATGTAACATAATGTGCCATTGATGAAAATATAGATTAAAAGAGTAATCTCACATCTAGGCTCTCTCAGTCTGTGTATTTTTTAAAATGTGAATTACTTAATAATGAATAAAAACTTATCCAAGCACATACAGAGTTTTCATGGATGTTGTGCTGCAAGAATGAAAAATCTAGTACTTAGGCTGAATAACATTTGCTGGTGATATTTTCTTGGAAGAAAAACATTTTTCATCTGCCAAATGGTCAAATCAGGAGAATGTAATAAGATAGAAAAAGTAATCCACCATTTGTGTTTAATAGTAGTTTATCTGGAACATCTAAGTAAGACTCAAAAATCAAATAGTATTGATTTGCTTGTGGATTTATGATGATTAGGAAGCAACCTTCACACTGGTGATTCTGAGGTGTGTTTAAATTTCAATACATGATCATTTACAGATTACACAATTTGGTAGGAAACACTACTTTCTCTCGCTGGGGTTTTTATTTTGATTTCTGAGGGGGGAGAAGGTATTCATGCTGACCTATATTATTTGAAGATTCTTTCATTCAAGGCAATTAGCATCCCACTCAGGCAAGAGAGAGTTTGAAACAGCTGATACTTTTGGCTGAGCTGCTATTTTGAACTTCTTATAAAACATCAAGCCTGGAGAATTTAAAACATATTAACATCAATTAAATTGGTCATAAGATAATAGAGTGGAAAAGGGCCTGACAAACCACCTAGTCCAATCACCTAATTGTGTATATTTGTAGGTACATATAAATTCATATGCTTAAATATATATATACATATATATATAAAATATGCATATATATATGTTTGTTTATAAATGTGTATATATCTACAGGTATCCAGATGGATAGAACATAGATTATCTTTATAGGTCTAGAGATGATAGAAAGATAGATGAATAGATAAGATAGACAATAGATAGTTGAATAGGTAAGCTAGATAAATGGATAGACAGAGAAATAAGTAGATAGGTAAATAGATAGATAAATGAAAACTGAGGCCCTGAAAGGGCCTTATGTGACTTCTCCAAAGTCACACAGGTAATAAGGGTCGGGGTTAGGATTTGAATCCGGGTGCTCTGCCTCTCAAGCAAATTATATTTTTAGCTTCCTCTGTAAGTGAGTACAATGGATTTGTTCAGTTTAAAAGGCACTGGGGCTTCAGGGATTTCAATCCCATTTCCATGTATGGACTCCAGCCTAAGTGCTAAGATATTTTCCGTGAAAAAGGTCTTAGGCTCTGGGCCTTTTTCATACTAAATATCTTGGCACTTTTGTAGCAAGGAGCTGGGTTTTTGGATTTCACAAAATAATGGAAACAATAATTGATTTGGTCATCCCCAGTGACACATATGGTCTTCATTTTAAATTCAAATTTTGTACCATATGGGGCTCCTTCCTTTCCATTCAGAGAATCTGAAAATACCTACGCATTTTCTTTGTGGTTGCATTCACTGTAGCACTGAAAGGCCCCGTCCCAGCACTGTTGTATGCTCGGACAGCGGTATAATATACTAAGTTGCTCTGCAGACCCTGAAGTCTGGCCGATGTCTCATTCCCCATGACTTTTATTCTGTTGGAGGAGTCTTCTTTGCCTCCATTATTCCAGTACCGAATCTAAAAAGGGGTACAAAAAGTAATGCATTGATGTTGGTGCTATTCATGAAAGACCATCTAACACAAAAGTATGATTTTTCCTTGAGCGACCTTTGACACTGTATTTTATTTTAAAATGATAAAACTGCTAAGACAAGGCTTTTAGATAAATATTAAATGACCACAATCCTGAAACCTGACTTTCTCTGCAATTGTGTGACTGTGAAGATGAGATGTGCTACAGAAAATCATTTATAAAAGTCTATTCCCTTCTCAAATTTTAATAAAAAGATACTCTCATTCTCATAAAGATTTTATTGAGAAGAAAAAAGCAGTTGTTTGTATCTTCTTGGCAGCTAGTCTGCGGTAATATGGCAGTCTGTGTTGTTTTTTTTTCCTTCATTCATTTAATATCATTAGAGAACTGGACACAGTCAGAAAGGTCAGGGTTCAAATCTCATCTCCAAAGCCAAGTAGCTGTATAATCCTGGGAAAGTCAATTAACTTCTCTGAATGTCAGATTCCTCATTTGTAAAATAGATACAGTAATACTTGTAGTACCCATCTCACAGGGCATTTGGAGGAGTCGGTGCTATAAAATAAATCATTGACATTATATATGCCATCATTATTCATTTTTGAAAATCATACCCCCTATGCTTTCAAAATTGTGTAACCACAATCATGGATTTCTTTTTATATATACACATGTAAATACACATTGTCTTCCCTGATAAAATGTAATTTCCTTGAGCTCAAAGGCTATTTCATGAATGTGTTTTTATTCTAACACCTAACACACTTCCTGGCACATTGTAGGCAATTAATAAATGCTTATCAATTGGTTGATCAAGGCTATGTATGCTTACTAGGGACCAGTGTCTCTTCATGCATTCATCTTCTTTAGCCACTATTTTCATTTATTCATGTAGTATGAGATCTCAGAATTCATCATCAATAGTGAAAATCATTTGTCATAAAAATGTTGACAAATTGTTTCCATTTAGTTACCTGTTATGCTCTTTCCTGTTTCAACTGCAGATTCTTTGGGGATAATCTAGCTAAGTTGGGTTTCATGCTTTCTGAAGGCTTGATTTACCTACCATGAATTTTTAATTTTATTATAATTTTCCACCATCCTTTATAGAATTCAAAGCATTTTTTAATCTTTATATCACATACTCATATTGTTTTTGCCAAGTTAAGTAAAATCAAGTCAAGAAGCATTTATTAAGCACCTACTATATATTTCATGTGCTATAATCTTTCATTATCTAGCAATCTGGTTAATTTTTTAACTGTCAGTATTCCTATTATGGAAAGAAACCACCACCAACATTGGGCCTTGATGCAACCAGTGCCCAGACTGAATTACTATTCCTAGGATCACAGTTTGAGAGCCAGACCTTCAAGATGATCTAATATTGCTCCCTTCTTTTCCAGATGAGGAAATTTAGGCCTAGATTGGTCAAATGACTTGTCCAAAGTCACACATGCAGTAAGTGGTAAAGCCAACAATGATCCAGTTCTTCTGATTCCGTATCCAGCAGTATTTCCACTGACCCTCAAAATGTCTTTGAGAAGCAAAACTGTTAGCTATCCTTTTACCTTTCTTTTCTCTTGAGTTCAAGGGACACATTGTCCAAATTGTGCCTAAAGTCTATTGAAAGAAATCTATATTGACAGATTCCCAGGGAATCTAAATACCTCTTTATGTATGTTTTATCAAAAGTCATGAGAAGAAAAAGTATTTGGAAAAAGCAATAAGCAATGAATTAGTTTCTTACGACTTTTGAAATGCAACTCAGTAGTATAAACTAAGTAAATACTTTATTACTTTGCTAAAAGACTCTTTCCAGAACTTAATTTCTAAAACTATACTATAAAAATTTATTTAGCTAATATGAATTTACTTAAAACTTTATGTAATTCAAAGTACTAGCTGTTCCCCAGTCAATAAGATAACCTACTATTCCTTAACAAAAATAATAGATACCTGAAGTGCATCTAACTTGAAAATCTATGTTTCCCCTGTTCTATGAATCTCAGTTAAACAGTGTTTATTGTTCCTTTTGTGGGACAATGCTTAGCTAAAAATAATGTATCTGAAATTCCATTTCTTGTACTTTTCAAAAATTCCAGATCATGGAAATCTGCAATACCAGCTCTGTGGTGCATGCCCAGGCTTCCTTTCTTACAAGCTATGTCATCTTGATTATGTCATTTAACTCCTTGAGGTTCAATATCCTTACTTGCAAAATGGTCTATTTATACTAAATAAGGCCTAGGATTATTGCAACAGCTAAAAGCCCTCTGCAAACTGTGAAAAGTAGAATCGCATGAGCCATCGTTCTGATGATGCTCACTATGGCGTTTGCTGCAATCATCTACTCTTATCACACAGGTTCTATGGGAAAATAGATCATCCATTGACTCTGCATTGTATTTTTATCAAAAGGCGGATTATGAAAAATGTTAATCTTGGGAAAAAACTTAGAAAGGGGCTTTAGAATTTGTTTTCCATTTCATCCACAATGTAATTTGAACCACAACTCAAAAAAATGTTTAGCAATTTAATAGTCCTCTTCTGATGTATCTGCAAAGGGGAAAGAAAGTAGCTTGTTGAACAATTATGAAACAAATTCCATTAAAGTACACATTATAGTTCAGTTCACCCAATAACCTGAATTTCATTCAATTTTAGGCTTATTTATTTGAATTATTTGTATGACTGCCCAGGTATGCTACTATAGTTTATTTTTATCTACAATGATTAGTCTTGGGCAACTTTATCAGTGCTGGTAGGAAATTAGCTCTTTCCACTGAGGTCTGCCTTTGTTCTGAAAAGTACTCAAATGTTTGGTGATTTCTTAGTAACCATTAATATAACAGGAAACAAATATCATCGTTTTCCATGTATTTGACCCAGGGGGCCATCTATGTTCTCTTGTGACTTATTGCTCTGCTAGCCACACATGTTTTAAACTTACCTTTCTCTAAGCATTGGCTAAATTTATTAACATTTCTTGCAATGTATTAACCTTCAACCTTTTATCACAATGGCCAGGATTTTCCTGTTTTCCTATTTGTTTTTTTTACATCTGAAACTTAAGATAACTTAAAGACATTAACAAGAATGAATGTGAAATTGTCATGACAGACTCAGATTGTCTGACAAATGGCAAATAGATGTTAATGGCCAGGAATACAAGTCCTTCCATTTCTACTCCCTTCTCACAATGTAGAAGGGGCAAGAGAAGATTTGTGTCAGTCTGTCAGACTTTTCAGATAACACAAATTGCTGCCTCGAGAAATGAGCTCATCAACTCTTACTTTGTCAAATAGGAAAGAAAATTAGTCTGGATACTAATGATGATGTGTGTTACTCAGTATGTCACATGGCAAACCACCAGCCCTTACTGAGATGAGAGATAGGAAAGTTATTAAAATTTTTAAACCTACACCACAAACTGGGGAAAAACAGAATATCAGAAATGTAACTATGTTCATTGGCAATTGTATCAATTGCTTTGCCATTTCTTGCAGTTTAATTTCTAAATGATATAAGAATTGAGTGGTACTATAATTTCATCTGAATAGAATAGTGAGCTAAATGTCTTCTCCTTTTGTAAAAAAAATCATCTAGAGCTGTTTTCTTACTCCTAATTTTTATAAAGTTCCTATTAAATACATTTTCAGGATTATCTCTTCATAGTAATGTCTATTTGCCATTTTGAATTTATTTCAGCACATCTTTTCCTATTTAAACCTCTCAGTTCCTTAGATTTATATAACAGAGAGACATTGTGCATTCTAAATTACATGAAATTAATGAAATATCTCTCCCTCCCACTTCTCTTCTTTCTCGTCTCTTAACTTGAAGGTATATTCTCTCTCTCTCTCGTCCCTTGAAAAGTTCACCTAGTGTTACCCATTTAATTATATTTACTGCAATAACTCCAAATCTTTATCACTGGATCTGAGTTTTAGGCCTGTATTCCTAGTCACTTCTAAGACATAGCTATCATTGTTATCCAAGGATCCAATTTACCACCTCTGTAGCACACATAAGTTAACCACCTTCCCAACCCCCACCCCTACTCTGTCAACACTCACCCCATTCTGCACCCAGTCACTCAGTCTGGAAACTCTGCAGTCATCTTTGACTGCTCCATGTCCTTCATCACCCATTTCCAATTTGCTTTCAAGTCCTCTGGAATTTTTTTCTCTGAGTTTTCTATCTTCACCTGTCACCATGCTCATTCCTGCCACAATGCTTTCTATTTCACTAGGTTGCAATGCCCTTCAACTTCTCTCTGCTCCTTCCACTCATTCTTCTTTGTCTTCCAAAATCCAGTTCAAGTTCCATGAACCTTTTTCAAAATTCTCATTCTTATTATTGACCTTTAGCTCTTACCAAATACTTAGACACCCTCCTCCCATTAAACTACAGTAACTCCCTATTGACTCCAGGTTCAAACATAAAATCCTCCATAACCTGGCCCCTTTCCCCATCTTCAGCTCCTTTTCTACTCATCACGTGCTCTGCGACCCACTGACAGTAGTTTCCTTGCAGAAGAAACTCCATTTTCCAACTCCTGCCATTTTCATTGGCTTTTTCCCATGTCTGAATTTTCCTCCTTCTCATCCCTGCCTCCTGGATTCCTTGGCTTACTTTAAGTCTTAGCTAAAAACCCATTGTCTCCCTTAATTCTAGGTCCGTCCCTCTGCTGATTTCCTCCAATTTTTCCTGTATAGATCTAGTTTATATATACTTGTTTTAATGTTGTCTCCCTCATTATAAACTGTGAGCTCCCTGAGAACATGAACTGTCTTCTGCCTTTCTATGAATTCCTAGTGCTTGGTATACTGCCTGACACACAGTAGGTGCTTAATAAATATTTATTGAATGACTAGAATTAATTTGATTCTGCCTTATATTACCCTCTGTTTCACTTTTTTGTTCACACCCCCTCCCCCAAATTAAACTATAGGTTCCCTGGAGGCAGAGAGCTTGATTTATTCTTCTTTTATCTGTACCTAGGCCAGTGCCAAGAACATAGTAGGTTCTCAATATATATACATATTTGTTAAATTGAACTGAGGTCCCCCGGTGGTTTCTAAGTGTTGCTTATATGAGACAGTACCCTAGTTAGACATGCTCTAGTAATGAAATGTCAACATAAAATGTATGGTTATTCACAGTCATCAAACTGACATTAGCATTGTAAAATACATATATACATGATTCAGTGGTTTTGCATTAAAAGGGATTACCTCATAACCCAGTAATCGTCCACTGCTCATTTTCCAAGGAATGGCATCCCAGGAAACTTCGATTATTGATGATGAGAGGCTATTGGCCAAGACGTGAGATGGAGCTACTGTAGGTTCTGTGTTGGGACAATTGAAATTAAAATATATACATATATGTATTATATATATGTGTATATGTAGATACATACATACAAAGAGAGAGAGGCAGGCAGAGACAGAGGGAGACAGAGACACAGAGAGAGACAGAGACAAAGACAGAAAGAGATATGATTTTGGTAACTCTACAAAAAAAAATCCAGTGTTGTAGCTAATTTTTAAAAGATTATATAGAAATATTATAGCAACACAATTCAACCCAACAAATACTTGCTAAGCTTCTACTATATGTAAGGCAAAATATGCTGCTAAAATTATAAGCCCTGCTTTTCAAGTATAATCAAAATATAATTACCTACCTTCCTCAGCAGAGAAAACAGTTGTCACTGGGCTGAATGGCCCTTCGCCTTTGTTATTATATACACCAACTTTTACTTCATAGGGTGAAAAAGAAAGGATACTTTCATTCCTAAAGACATATCTCGGGGTATCAGGAGATGTAACCACTGTCTGGATCCATGTTGTAATACCAAGAGGTCTGAAGGCAACAACATAGCCAAAACCTTCTCCATTCTGTAATTCCTCAGGGACTGGCTGTATAAAGAAAAAGTGAAAAAGTCAGCCCCATTGAATCTTCTCTTCTCAAGTCTATATTATTATTGGTGGCATTTTATCTGAAAAATATTTATTTTTTTTTACAGAGGGAGAAGGGAGGTGCACCAAACTTTGTATAATTCAGCAAATAAAAGCTAGAAGCAAGACAGCTGCATTTCTAATTTCTTTTCTTCCAAACTTTGTGTTTATACGACATCAAACAATATGGATGACAAGTAAAAAATAACTTTGACGCAGATGTTTGAAAATTTCTGATTGTTTAGTATCTTGTAGACAAAAAAAAATAGCCAAATAATAAATAACTGATTTCTTGTGCTTCCCATTCATTAGCTGTTTTGGTAAATGTTTCCAAATCTGATTAAAGACTGAACATTTTGGTTGACTACAATTCAACTCATAAGCCAAGATTTCAAAAATAAAACAAAATTATATAAATGGTCTAATCACTGTCATTGAGCTGGCAGAAAGGAACCACAACACTAATATTAAAATAATTACTATGTATTTAGCAGAATTCATTGCTTTCAATGCTGAAACCTGGCTAAGTTGGAAATTCCTGTTGACAAGTGTAATTATTTGCTTCACCTTGCTACAACAATCTTTTGCTTATGCTTATTTATTACCCTGAAACCTTAAAAGAATGCCAACAATTCCCAAGCCTCCTAATATTCAAATGTACAGCTGAAATTCATACTGATTGCACACAAACACACAGTGCTGAAAGGAAGGCCAGGAATAGAACAAAACAGAAATCAAATGGAAGGATTGAGTAACACGCATTGCCTGGATAGGCTGGAGTTGTAATCTAGAGACAAGTTCCTACCATATCCCCCAAGCACAGAGCTGAGATAGACAGGCACTGTCAAAGTAACTTACATCCCAAGTTATAACCAGTTCCGACCGACTGCCACCTCCCCCACTTACTTCTGAAGGGGGTACTTCTGGAACTGTGGGGAAGACAAATATAGAAAAGCCAATATTTAAGCTTATTAACATCTATCTGAAGGAAAATTATTTTATATTCAACACTTATTTTTGAAGTAGTGTGATCACTGAAATACTTAGTGTGTAATATTTCTTTTCTGGATGTCTCTGAAGTAGCTGAAATCTTTGTGTAAAAGCAAATAAGGGACTGGAAAGGTCAGATGTGTGAGGAAAAATCACACACCTGATGCCATAAGGCTATATCTCCTCATGACATCAACAAATATGTATGTATTTTCAACAGCAGATTGATCAAAATAAAAATAAGAGCACAACAATTACAATCTAAAATTAGGAGGAGAAATTCAACCCTCTTGCTCTATGATAATGACAATTTAACACGCAGATAATCACTGTGATAATTATTTCAATAATGTCATTTTTTATAGGAATGAATGACATACACTAAGACCACACTCATCACAAGCAACAATGAAATCTCCTAATTTCACATTTATTTTGGGAATGCACTTCAACCTTGAAGTTATCCTTCATGATCCTACACATTCCACCTAAATACTCTATTGAAGTCAATCCTCTTGGTACCTTCTCCAAGGTTGAACATTGAATAATTAAAATTATTTAAACACATTCAGTGACATGAAAGGCAAAATTGTAAAGCAGATAGAGAACAAGACTTGTAATAAGGAAGACCTGGATTTAAGTCCTGCCTCTGACATATATTGGCTTTGTGTTCCTGGGCAAGTCACATAATGTGTCAGTGGCCCAGGAAACTCTTTAAGACTATAAGTGACAGATGAGTTGTCGATCTATATTGGTTCAGGGAGTCTCCACACTGAGAATCCTTCACACCTATGAAGTATAAATCCAGGAGAAAAACAAACAGTGATTGATATTATGGCTAAAGCATGAAAAATTTATACCAGATGTAACTCAAGCATTATCTTCATCTGACTTAATATTATGTAACCTGAAAATGTTGAGTCTGCATGTTCATTATTTCATTATCACATTTCTGTAAAGGGCTTTCTAAAATTGAAGGTTAGTATCAAGAATTGAGGAATTGAAATGAAGAAGTTTTATATTTGCTTCCAGTAATTAATCTTCTTAGGGATGATAGTAATTGTTTTTCAAAATTTTAAAACAGGAAGGACAAGCATAAGCTCACTTGAAATGGCTCAATTACATCAAAAGGGAAGAAAATGAGACCAAATAGAGTTTTCCCATGGGTTTTCTCAGATGCCATCAAGTCTAAATGTCTGCTATTCATGAAGATGGCATTTTCACTATCAACATCAAAATTACCCTGCAATAGCAGCAAACACATACTCGTTCAATATCAAGTAAAGACCATTCCTGATGGATCGAAATGTCAATATCTTCACATGGATTTTTTCCTTGTAAAAATGACATGTGGATAATTCTATCCATTGGAAAGATTATCTATATAAATAAATAGATCGGTTTTCAGGGCTAAGGAACCTGCAGCCTCAAGGCCACATGTGGCCTTCCGAGTCCAAGTTTTACAGAACAAATATTTTTATTAAGTGGATTTGTTCTGTGAAGTTTGGATTCAGTCAAAGGCTGCACTCGAGGACCTAGAGGGCTACATGTGGCCTTGAGGCCACAGGTTCCCCGCCCCTGATAGGTATTGGGAATAACTGCATTTGAAAAGCAATTCAGAAATTCTGAAGTGAGGCCAAATCCCTGATGATCCTTTCAGTCAAAAACATTTCAGTCAAAAATACAAGAAAGTAATATGTGCCCACCATTGTGATAAGTGTTGGGAATACAAAGAAGCACAAAATGGGCGCTGTCCTCAAGGAACTCATTTTGTTTGGGGAAATGACCTAAGTATACTTTAGGAACTTTTTCAACTTAGTGGAAAATGGACTAGAGTAGGGAGAGACTTGAGGCAGAAAGAACAATTAGACGAATACTACAATAATCTAGGTATGAGACGATTATAACCTGAACTGGGGTGGTGGCTATGTGAATGGTGAGAAGGTGGACATGTATAATAGCTATAAGAGGTAACATTTATATAGTGCTTACAATGTACCAAGCACTGGTTTACAATTATTATCTCATTTGATTGTTTTCTCATTCTTCTCTCTCATAACAATAACAGTACTATTTACATAGCACTTCAATGTTTGCAAAGAGGTTTATAAACACCTCATTTTAGCCTCCCAACAACTCTAGGAAGTGCTATAACCACCCCCTTTTTACACATGAGGAAAATGAGGCAAAGAAAGGTTAAGCGACTTGCCTACGGTCACATAGCTAGTTAGTGTCTGAAGCTAGATTTGAACTCAGGTCTTCCAGACATTAGGCCTGGTGCTCTATCCACTGCACCATCTTAAGCTGCATATATGATCAATATTGTGAAGGTAGAAACCATAAGATTTAGCAACAGATTAAACGTGATGTGAGAGCACAGAGCTGAGGATGTTATTGAAGTTGTGAGCATGGGTGAGTGGGTGTATGGTAAGGAAGTTTGGAGAGAGTTTAGGATAGAAGATAATCAGTTTAATGTTGAACATGTTGCATTTGAGAAGACTTTGGGACATCTAGCTTGGGAAGTCCAAAAGACAGTTGGTGATATGTAACTATAACTCAGGATGGAGACTCTGGTTGAGGATACAGATTTAAGAATCACATCCATAGAGATTCTAACCCATGAGAGAAATGCGAACACCAAACTAGAAGGTAGAAAGGGAAGATATTAGCAAGCCCAGGACAGACTCTTGGGGGACATCCATAGTTAGTAAGTATGATATGGATGAAGGTCCATCAAAGGAGACCGTGGAGCAGACAGACAGGTAGGAGAAGAACCAGGAGAAAGCAATGTCATGAAATCCTAGAGAGGAGAGAGTACCCAGGAGAACATGGCCAGTTGTGTCAAATGGTCAAGTAAAGTAATTATTGAAAAAAAAAGTCTTTAGATGTGGCCATTTAGATAGCACTGGTAACTTTGGAGAGATCTTTTTCAGTTAACTGATGGCATCAGAAACCAGATTATAGAAGGTTTTAAAGAAAGTAAGAGGAAATGCATAAAAGGAGAAGCACCTGATGTAGACGGTTACCTCAAAGACTCTGGCCAGGAAGATGGAGGGGAAAGGGGAGAGATCTGGGACAACATAGTGGATATGGTTGGATCAAGGTAATGTTTTTTCTTTTTTTTTTTCTTTAAGAATGGGGAGACATTGGTTTACTTGTAGGCGACAGAAAAGCAGGTGATAGTAAGAAATTGAAGATTGGAGTAAGATAGTAGAGATGATAGAGGGGACCTTCTCCTGCAGAAGACAGAGGGGGATGAGACTCATGCAAAGGGTTGTCCTTAGCAAAGAGAAGAGCCACAACTCCATAGAAGAGAAGGCAGTAGGAGTTTAGCTCTTAGTGATATGTGAGATAGAGGAGAGAAGAAGGAGTTCTTGGAAAAATGACCCTCTTTTTTTGGGGGGGGTTGGGTAAGGCATGAAACAAGGTCTTCAGCTGTCACCATGGGGGAAGGTTTGCCATATTCTATGATCCTACAAATGAACATTTACATAGATTCAGAACTCAAAAGCTATTAACTTCTTACAAAGCAATCCTGACCTCCCCCCCAAAAACCAAAAACCACTAACCTGCCTCTTCAGTTCTTACTTTTTCTGAGGGCAAACTTGGTTCCCCACCTCCAATTTTGTTATTGGCTACAACACGGAATTCATATTCCACCCAAGGATTTAAGTCCACCACTGTGGCTGTGAATGTTTTTCCATCGATGATATCAGGCACTATAAAATAATGTGTTGAGAACTAAGAATCTTCACTCTTTAAAAGGAGAGTTCAAAATACAGATCAATGGTCAGAATTTCTTTTTGCCTTGTTACCTGTTGTGACTATTTGCCAGCCCACTGAGAAAGGTGTCCGAGCTTGAATGACATATGATGTGACCGGACTATGGTTGTCCGTACCTTCTTTCCAGGACAGTTGGGCTGTGGTGTCTGTTATTTCATCTACCTTCACACTTTCTGGTGGCCCAGGAGAGCCTAGCCAAGACAAACAAAATAAGGAATTTTGTAGTATATGTAAAGGAATTCACTCTTGGAAGCCAACAAACAAGATTTTCATCTACTGGTCAGGGGATGAAATAGATGTGCTAATCTCTTCAGACACCTTTGTGCACATGAGTGCTAACTCTGTGAGAAAAGTTAAAGTCTAATATAAAAGAAAACAACACATAAGAGAACCCCTTGAATACCTCCAACAGATTCCAATTTCTCCAGCTCTTAGGGAAAAAGTCATTTGACTGGGAATAAAAACACCACTATTTCTTTTAACATGGACAGAAAATCGGTCTGTTGTTTGAAAAGTATGAAATCCAGTTGGGAGGCAGTCATTCTGAGACTATAACAGAAAGTGATTACAGATGCCACATTCTTTCAGAGACCTTTGTGCAGCAGGATCTTTGTACCTCTCCAAATTTGATATCTTTTATTTCAGGCCCAGCATCCTCTAGTAATCTACTAATGCATCTCTGTAGTCCACCAATTTGTTATCTAAAGCTGTTTTACCCTAGGATATACTGGGGCAATTTTTCAGCACAGCAGCAAATCAGCACTGGAGAGCAGTGAGGTCTGTTTCCTATAGCAGACTGTAGAAAATCCTGATTCTTTTGGGGTGTATTAAAAAAAAACACACAAACACATTTCCATCACATCTCTGAGCCAATGGAATATGTAAAAACACATCAACTTAGGTTGTGACTGTGGAATATCAATTAAAGTGTGAAAGTACATATATATAAAGATTTTTATTTCTTTAAATTAGTACCTGTCCTCTGATGATGTAACAACATCATAATAGACTGGCATTAGATCTAAGTCAGGACAAATTCATACGTTCAATTAGTTAAGTAGTTAATCAGTATTTATAATGGAATGGAAGGAAAGAGAGGAAGGGAATAAGCATGTATTATATGCCTCACTCTGTGCCAAGCACTGTGCTAAGTGCTTTACAAATATAACAATCATAATAATCTTGGGAGGTAGGTGCTATTAGGATCCCCATTTTACAGTTGGGGAAATTGAGTCAGACAGCAGTAAAGAGACTTGTGCAGGATCACACAGCTATTGAATGTTTGAGGCCATATTCGAACTCAGATCTTCCTGACACCGGGCCCAGTGCTCTACTCATTACACCACTCGTCTGTTAAGCACTCACTATGTGTCAGAGGCATGGGGAATATATAGAATTTGCCCTCAAGTAGCTCTTAGTCTGAAAGGTGAGAAAGCGTGTAAATAGCTAAAAACACATGAGATATAGTCAAAATAAATCAGAGGCAAACAGAGCAAATATATCATACCATTACTGTTTTCTATTCACTTAGAGATGATCACTTACAGGTATAGAAAAGGCAGCGACTAACATTTACCTCTTACTATCAGCTCTGCTGCAGATGAAACACTGTCTACTTCTGTTTGCACCATACAAACATATTTCCCACTATGTTTCAGCTGAATGTTCCGAATCATCAAATCACCTGAAGAACTCTGTTGAATAAACAGATAATGAACATCCTTGTTTGAAAGCATAAATGACTCAGCAATGATTGAAACATTTCATTAGCAGGAAACAAGATCTTGTGGCCCAGAATTACTCAAATTAAATACACAGTCAAATCAAATTTTAAAAATACAGAATTTTTATAAGCCAACCAACCAACAATCATACTCAGATATTTAAATGATTTAAAAAATAAAAACCAAGATTTTGAAAGGGACCTCTTTTAATGTTTACTATGGTTACGTTGAAATGAGTTGATTTCTGAAATTCATGTAGGGTAGAGGATCTAAATTTGATTAGAGCAGCATGACTTCCAATGTTATTTGAATGTTTTCTACAGTAATCCTAGGAGCATTACTGTGTGTGGCTATGACAGAGTATGGTGTAGGGCTCTTGTTTTAAGGGGATGGACTTTACCTTCTTGTATTTAATGATAAAACCATCCTATTCAGAATGAACCCATCAGATTGCTTCAAGAAACTTTAATTTGTTTTGGACCTTCCTTCCCTTCCCATTACATTATTTTGTCCCAACAGAAATTTTGTTTTTCAAATTTATTTTTAAAAAAGAGATTTGAATCTTATGTTTCCTTTTTGTCAATTATAATGGTACACCTTATTTCATTTGCTCCTCTCTACTGGATCAACTTTTTAACTTTTTTCTAGCTCAACACTTTTCAAATCACTTGATCGCTGAAAGTAAAGCATTTGTTTATCTGCCGGGTAATGATGCAGTACTACTTGGGGATTGCCACACAAGATTCACTTAACCAAAATAAAAATAATAATAATAATGGAGCTTAAAGCCAGACTAAACCACATCTATAGAATTTAGGGAGAGTCTGTGTCAAACTAGTAAGAAGAAACTTTTAAAACTCAAAAGAAACTATCAATAAATACATTTAATGTCACTGTTCAGTACCAACTAAAGGATCAAGCTCTCTAAAATCTCATGTTCTTTCATTTTTTATAATTAGTTTTGAATATGATTCAAGTTTTTTTAAGAGGTAAAATAATGTTTGCATAAGCTGGCTAATTGCAAGTTAATTTCATGAAGCAGAATGGCATGAATTAAATAAAATAATTCAGAAATTAGAGGGGTTGGAATTTTGGAAGTGGAAAAAACAAGAGTCCTTTGAGAATCATCTCAAATGAAAAGATCTGTGAAATAGCATGAGATGGAAAGTAATGTCTATGTTATTAATTCCACATGTACCACATGTGCATTGTGCATGGGATACTGTGCCCATCTCTTCCCCTCACATTCATCACCTCATGGTCCACCTTGTAGTAATTCACCATTCTACATTTAACCTAGACTGGTCCTCTAACCACCTACCTGCAAGTATGGAACTTAAGACCTTTTTTATTTGGTCAGAGCTTTCGTAGTTTGCCTACTGGAGTTTGCCAATTACCAACTGCTCACTGGCAATTGGAAAGCCTGGGATTACCTCCAAATCACAATGAGGAATGAGAGTAGGATTAGAGAGGAAGAGGGCAGTGCAAGATGTTCACGGATCAGACCGAGTTACTAAAAGAACAAAAGAAATGAATGAGTGAGACAAGAAGAGCGCACTAGTTTCATTCTCTGTGGAGAAGTCATGGAAAACCACATTCAAAAATTTCTTCCACGGATGAGGAACTGAGGGACCTGCACTGGTTGGAGAAGGAGTCACACTAATGAAGTAGCATATCCATGAGTTTGCCAAGTGTACTTTTCAATCTTAGATTTTCAATATCAGTCATCCAAGACACATTTAGCAACCAGTTGCTAAGTGTCAAGAGAAAAAGACAAAAATCAAGCAGAGCGGTCCCTGGCCTCAGGGAGCATATGCCCTCATTCTATCAAGAATAGGTAAATGATATTTCCTTACAAAGGTACATATTATTTCCCAAGTAGGTAAGGGAGGGATACTAGCAGCTGGGGCTATGGGTCAGAAAAGGTCTCAGGTAGGAAGTGGCAAGTTTTATTAGAATAAGATTTTTGCTTTCAAACTTGTATATTGTAGTTTTATGCAACATCGAGAAACTAGGAGGCAGCATGGTGTAGTGAGTAGAGAGATGATACTAGAATTATGAAGACCTAGTTTCTAGTCCAGCCTCGGACACACAGTGTCTGTGTGACACCGAAGAAATTACTTAATTTCTCACTCACAGACTGTCAGTTGTTGTAGCCAGTACTGACTGGCATTGGTAGAGGAAATTTCCTCCCTAGGGACTGATCCTAAAATGAAAGAATTGCTACCTATCTTTATCCCCATATTCAAATGATTCCAAGATCTGAGTGTGAATATTCCCATCAATGATTGAGGCTACAACCTATCTGTGCCAATCGGACTCATGCAATTCTCATTACCACATTCCCATTAGTTTTCTACAGGGAAGCCTGTGTGGTATTGGTCCAATGTGCTGGATGCTTTACTTTTTCTTGACACTGCAAAAATATCAGTGGAGTACAAGGGCTTTTCCAGTGCTGATGCTTTGCATGTGAATAACTCATCTTTAATATATATTTTTTATCTTATGTTTTGACTCTTGTCAAAGTTCCCTCCTAAGACTTTAGGGAATTAATGGGGATGAAATTTGATGCAGACTGACACAGCCATTACTCTAATTCTGTAGCTCCTTATTTTTCATATGTTGCAGCCCCACTACAACCACTCTCTATCTGTCCATCACTCTCTGAATGATATTCATATTTAATTTTTTGGATATTGGAGAGTTAATGAGCAACAGTCATAGAACAGCTAGCAGAGTATTAGTTTTCAAAAGACGGGCCTTTGTTCAAGTGAAAAGTTTGGGGCCATTAAAGGAACATTACATTTTCTTGAAGGGAATTCAGCCCCCTTTTCTGCTTAATTCTGGGCCCAACTTTTTGTCTATTGCTTCATTTCTCTGATATACACACACACACACATAGATAGATATGTATGTGTCCATAAAGTAAAAATAGATGCCTTACATATTTGCATTCACATATATGTAGATGATATGAGAGATATTACAAATATATATTTATGCAAAAAATATGTAATATATAAAAATAAGTATATATAAACATATTATATATGTGCCTACATAGAATCATGGTCTCCTTTGTTGGGTCTTCATCTAAAAGTAGGCATCTAAAAGAAGCCTACTAATGATGGGTGACCCCCAGGGCTCTGCCCTGAGCCTGCTTCTCTTCCTTCTCTGTTTTATTTCATTTGGTAATCTCACAAGTGCCCATGTATTCAATAATAAGTTCTACACTGATGATTCTCTATCTACTTATCTTTTCCTAACCTCTATATTCAAATATCCCAAACTGGATATCTTATTCATAACTTAAACTCAACATATCCAAACCTGAATTGAAAATTATCTTTCCCTCTAAAAACCTCTCCTCCTCTGAACTTCCCTATTATTGTCAAAAGCACAACCATCCTTCCAGTGACCTGGGCTTACAACTAGGTGTTTTCCCTAACTCGCCACTTTCTCCAATCCTCCATAATCCATTCTATTGCCATGAACTATTGATTTTACCTAAACAGATCTCTTGTCTATTTCCCCTTCTTTCCCCAATATTTGTCATTATCACCCTTTTCTACTCCCTTATCACCTCACACACCAACCACTACATTACCCTTTTGGTTGGTCTTTCTCCTTAAAGCCTTTTGCCTCTCTAGTACATTCTCTACTCAGTTATCAAATTACCCTTCCTAAAGCACAGATTGGACAATTTTTATCCCTTTTATTCAATAATCTTCACTGGCTCCCGATTACCCTTGGGATGAAATAGAAAATCTTTTGTTTGGTGTTCAAAGCCTGCCCTTCATAAGCTAGGACTGTCCAGTCTTCTTACACCTTACCTATATTACCCACTCTGCAACCCACGACACTGGCCTCCTCACTGTTTCACAAATAAGACATTCTATCTCCCAATTCTGAGCAGGTTCACTGGCTACTCTCAATGTCTGGAGTTCTTTCCTTTTTCATCACCATCTCCTGGCCTCCTCTTCGGCTTTTTTCAAGTCACAACTTCTATAAGAAGCTTTTTCTGATTCCCCCTAGAGCTAGGCTTTTCAAATTGATCATGTATATAGCTTGCTTGTATGTCACTATTTTCCCCATTAGACTATTAGCTCCTTGAGAGCATGGCCTGTCTTTTTGTCTTTCTTTTTATATCCAGTGCTTAACACACTGTCTGGCATATAGTGAGTGCTTAATAAATGCTTGTTGACTTGAAATGATCTATAACATATATGTATATGCATACATACACACATATCTGAGAAATACTACAAACTAACCAGTTGAAATGAGAATTAAATATATACACATGCATATAGATGCAAATGTATACATATACATATGTATATGTTTAGTTTTGATGATAAAATAGAATGCAGATATAAGAAATCTTACAGTCACAAATTACATACTTTAATAAATAAGTTTAATTAATTCTTCCAATGAACTTAACAAATACTTGATTAATCGCCAAGTGGAGATATATGGAAACTTAGGGTCATATCTGGTTGGAATATGAACTGGTTTTGAATGTAAATTTATTTGCAAACTATTACTGTGATGAATAATGGAAGAATATAAGCAATATCTCTACAAAAAATTGGGAGAAGCCATGGAGGTAAAAATCAGAAAGCTTGGTGGAAGGCCTAGCTAAACAAAATTATCTCTAGGGCATCTAACTATGAAAATGGAAGGATAAAAACTTAATAGAATAATGACAGAAATGATTTGCAACAGTTTTTTTTTTAAACAAACACCTTTTACTACCAAGGAAAATGGAATCATTATATTTAGACCCTAACATCAGAGTTTCAGAGTAGGGCAGTTAGGTGGTACAGTGAATAGAGTGCTGGGCCTGAAATTAGGAAGATTCATCTTCAGGAGTTCAAATCTGGCCTCAGACACTTACTAGCTGTGTGACTCTGGCCAAGTCACTTAACACTATTTGCCTCAGTTCCTCATCTGTAAAATGAGCT